GAAAAGAAAAAAAAAGCAAACTAAAAAAAATGAACAAAAAACCAAGAACAGCACAAACAAACAAACAAGAACAAAGAAAAAAGCACAAGAAACACCCCACATCACTACACACAAACACAAAACCCAAGGAAATATAAAGCTAGAAACCATACAATACGTCCGACGTAGCAATATGGACAAAATCAGTCTGCACAAATACCACAAAGTTCAGTTTGTGTTGACCATCCACTTCTGGGCTTAGGACATAGCCTTTACTGCGTTTCATGTGCTCAGTGACTTTTTCCATATGAAACTGAGAATTATCCTTTCAAGATCTTTACAGAATTGGGCTAGAATTTTGATAGGGATGGCATTGACTTTGTAGATTGCTCTTGGTAGGAGGACCACTTTTGCTATGTTAATCCTCTCGATCCATGAGCATTGGAGATCTTTCCCTTTTCTTTCTGTTTTGTTTTGTTTTTTGAGACAGGGTTTCTCTGTATTGTTTTGGAGGCTGTCCCAGAGTTCCCTCTGTAGACCAGGCTGGTCTAGAATTCACAGAGATCCGCCTGCCTCTGCCTCCCAAGTGTGGGGATTAAAGGCGTGTGCCACCAACGCCCGGCTGATCTTTCCCTTTTCTGATATCTTCTTCAATTTACAATTATTTAATTTGTTTGGATAGAGTTACCTCAAGATATTTTGTATTATTTATTTGAGGCTATTGTGAAATGTGTTGCTTCCCTGATTTCTTTTTCAGTTCATTTGCGTATAAGAGGGCTATTGACTTTTATGAGTTAATTTTCTATCCAGCTCCTTTGCTGAAAGTGTTTATCAGCTGTAGGAGTTCCCAGGTGGAATACTTAGGGTCACTTATGTATACTTTCATATCATTTACAAATAAGGATGTTTTGAGTTGTTTCTTTCCAATTAGTGTCCCCTAGATCTCTATTGATCGAGTTAAGACATCAAGTACTATTATTTTCAATATTTTAAAAATTTAAATTAGAAACATGCTTGCTTCACATGTCAGTCCCAGCTCCCTCTCCCACCCCTTCTCCCTTACCCCTCCACCAGCTCCCCCACCCCACACCCAATCCCTACACCGTTCCCCAGGGAGGAGGAGATCCTTCTTGGGGGGATCTCCAGAGTCTGTCGCTTCTTCCAGGGCAGGACCAAGATCCTTTCCATGTGTCCAGTCTGAGAGAGCATCCCTCCATGTGGAATGGCTCCCAAAGTTCATTCATATGCCATGGTGAACACTAATTTACTACCCAAGGCCCCAGAGATTGTCCAGGCTTCCTCACTGACACTACATTCATGGAGTCTGCATCAGTCCCCTGCTGGCCTTTCAGCCATCAATCTGGGTGTCCAAGAGCTCCACCTTGTCCGGTCAGCTGTCTTTGTGGGTTTCACCAGCATGGTCTTGACCCCTTTACTCATCACTCCTCCATCTCTGTCACTTGGTTCCAGGAGTTCAGTTCAGTGTTTAGCTGTGGGTATCTGTCTCTGCTTCCATCAGTCACTGGATGAAGGCTCTAGGATAACATATAAGGTAGTCCTCAATCTCATTATCAGGGAGGGGCTATTAAGGTAGTAGTCTCTCCTCTATTGCTTAGTTTGCCAGTTGGTGTCATCCTTGTAGATCTCTGGAAATCTCACTAGTGTCAACTCTCTCCTCATACATAATGACTCCATCTATGATGGTGTCTCTCATCCTGCTCTCCTCTGTTCTTCCCCAGACTCAACCTTCCTGCTCCCCCATGTCTTCCTCTCCCCTCCTCTTCTCACCTTCTCTGTTTCCCTGTTCCTTCTCCTCTCCCCCCATGCTCCCAATCTGCTCAGGAGAATTTGCCTCATTCCCCTTCTCAGGGGGTATCACACATATCTCTCTTGAGAACCTTCCTGTTTCCCAGGTTCACTGGCAATGGGATTGTAGGCTGATCCACGCCTAGAATCCATATATGAGTGAATACATACCATGTTTGTCTTTTTTGTGACTGGGTTACCTCACTCAGTATGGTTTCTTGTAGTGCCATCCATTTGCCTGCAAATTTCAAGATTCCATTGTTTTTTTCTGATGAGTAGTACTCCATTGTGTAAATGTACAACATTTTCTCTATCCACTCTTCAGTTGTAGGGCATCTAGGTTGCTTCCAGATTCTGGCTATTACAAGTAATGCTGCTATAAACATAGTGGAACAGACATCTTTGTTGTATGAATGGGCATCTTTTGGGTATATGCCTAAGAGTGGAATTGCTGGGTTGTGGTAGACTGAGTCCCATTTCCTGAGGAATCTCCATACTAATTTCCAAAGTGACTGTATAAGTTTGCACTCCCACCATCAATAGAGAAGTATTCCCCTTTCTCCACATCCTCTCCAGCATAAACTGTCACTGGTGTTTTTGATTTTAGCCATTTTGACAGAAATAAGATGATATCTCAGGGTTGTTTTGATTTGCATTTCCCTAATGGCTAAGGATGTTGAGCACTTTCTTAAGTGTCTCTCAACCATTTCAGACTCCTCTATTGATAATTCTCAATTTAGTTCAGTCTCCCACTTTTTAATTGGATCCTTTGGTTTTTGGAGACTTGCTTCTTGAGTTCTTTGTAAATTTTGGGGATCAGCCCTCTGTCAGATGTGGGGTTAGTGAATATTTTTTCCCATTCTGTGGGCTGCCTTTTTGTCTTGTTGACTGTGTCCTTTGCCTTGCAGAAGCTTCTCAGTTTCAGGAGGTCCCATTTGTTAATTGTTGATCTCACTGTCTGTGCTACTGGTGTTATGTTCAGGAAGCAGTCTCCTGTACCAATTTGTTCAAGGGTGCCCCCTACTTTCTTTTCTAAGAGGTTCAGTGTGACTGGATTTATGTTGAGATCTTTGATCCATTTGGACTTAAGTTTTGTGCATGGCCATTGACATGGATCTGTTTGCAGTCTTCTACATGCTAGCATCCGGGTATGCCACCATCACTTGATGAAGATTGTTTCTTTCTCCCATTGTATAATTTTAGCTTTTTTTTTTGTCAAAAGTCAGGTGTTTGCAGGTGTGTTGGTCCCTATCAGGGTTCTCAGTTAGGTTCAATTGATCTACCCGTCTATTTTTGTGTCAATACCAAGCTGTTTTCAGGACTATAGCTCTATAATAGAGCTTGAAGTCAGGGATGGTGATGCCTCCAGACATTCTTTTGTTGAACACGGTTGTTTTGGCTATCCTGGGTATTCTGTTTTTCCATATAAAGTTGAGAATTGTTCTTTCAAGGTCTGTGAAGAACTGTGTTGGAATTTTAATGGAGATTGCATTGAATCTGTAGATTGCTTTTGGCAAGATTGCCATTTTTTCTTTGTTGATCCTACCTATCCAAGAGCATGGGAGATATTTTCATTTTCTGATATATTCTTTAATTTCTTTCTTTAAAGACTCCAAGTTCTAGCTCAACAGGTATTTCATTTGTTTGGTTATCATTACCCCAAGATATTTTATGTTGTTTGTGGCAATTGTGAAGGGTGATATTTCTCTGATTTCTTTTTTTTTTACTATGCATGCAATTTATTATATAGGAAATACACAGAACAAAACAAAATATTAAAACCTGAAACATACTGAAATCCATTCTGATTTTTAATTTTTGTGAAGCAACTATATTAAATAGTTCTAATATATATATCTAATCTCATTAATAAAGTTAAAGAACTAATTACTTAGTTTAGGTTTTTCTTTGGGCATTGAAATTTACTTTCCAAATTATGTTATTTCTAACTTTAAAAATAGGCCAATTAGTTTTTAAGAATGAAAAACTTCCACAACTTATTAATAACACAAGCAAATAACATGTTTAGGAATTAATCTATTTTTTGTTGTTCAGCACATGAATGAATCTGATTCCAATGTTTCAGCAACTGTATAATGTGAAATTCCTAACTGATATTTGTAACCACCAACCATATACTTTTACAGTTAAAGGTAATGTCAATATTAAATCTTATCTAGCAAACAACCAGCCTCCTACCCTTCAGATTCTTCAATCTTTTCTCCAGCATTACGAGTAGTACAATTTTCACTTTCTGAAGAACAATTCCTTGTAGAAGCTATATGTCTTCCTTAAATACAGAACAAAAAATGTCTTAGAGAATGGGAAAAGATCTTCACCAACTACACAGGTGACAGAGAGCTGGTTTCCAAAATATATAAAAATCTCAAGAAGCTAGACATCAAAATACCAAATACTCCAATTAAAAATATGGTACAGATTTAAACAGAGAAAAGCGCCAACGTGTCGGTCCCTGTGAAGTCCCAACACACGGAGATGACTGGTGCTCATGTTTAACACAAAACACACGCACAGTAGCGAGGACTCAAGGCCACATGGCTGGGGTTCACGGTGTGCGAGGGCAATAGGAGTGAGTTGAGGATTAGGGTAACAGATGCTGGTCAGCACTAGGGACTCAGATTGCAAAGCTGAGGTGCTGCCTGTTCCCAGACATCCCTGGGAGCCGTGGAACGGGAAGCACGGGTGTAAGGGTGTCGATTAGAGCAGCTGGGAGGAGGGAGGGGCCCTGGGGGACTCTAAGATAAGCCCCATGTGAGGAGACCCCAGGCGTGACCTCACTTCCTTAGTGATGACTCAACAATGCAGAACCCTGCAACCAGCTAGCCAACTGCTGAGAGACAGTCTGGCAGGCTCACTTGTCTTGAGACAGTAGAGAAAGCACAATGTTTTCGTCCTGTCTCGGGAATACTCGAGAAAGAGGCTCAGACCTCAATAAAGATGAAAGTGGAGGCCATGGTGGAGGCCATGGTGGTGCCTGGAGACACCGGGCACGCTCTTGGCTCCAAGTCCTCTGGCCATTTGGCCGGAAAGAAAGAAACTTGAGCCAGGGCAGCCAGGGCAGCCAGGGCAGCCAGGGCAGCCAGGGTAGCCTGGGAATCCAGGGAAACCAGGGTAGCCAGGGCAGCCAGGGCAGCCAGGGCAGCCAGGGCAGCCAGGGCAGCCAGGGCAGCCAGGGCAGCCAGGGCAGCCAGGGCAGCCAGGGCAGCCAGGGCAGCCAGGGTAGCCAGGGTAGCCATGGCAGCCAGGTAAGCCAGAGCAGCCATGGCAGCCAGGTGATCCAGGTCCAGGGCGACACGGACCAGGTGAGTACTGTTTGATCTCAGAGTTTCCCCCAGGTTCATTCTGGGTCTTTGGCAGTGAGGAGGTTCAGGAACAGCTGGAACGATGACAACCAGTCAGAAGGTCGCAGTCCTGTGCCTGTCTGAACCATGCACCTTGATCTCTCCTCAGGTCGGGGTGGTGTCTGCCCCAGAGGAGCTGAACGAGTCCCCTAGAACGCCCCATTTCGGGCCCCTGGAACAGATGTCGGCCCTCCTGGTGACGTCCCTGCAGGGTGGAGACTCCTTCTTCGTGTTTGTTTTCTACTGCGTACACCAAAAGTTTCTCACCACTCAGCATGTGCTGGACCTGCTGTTCAAGCGGTGAGTGCCCACCTCCGAGCTCAGAGGCCTCAGATCCTCCTGTTGGCTGTGGGAAGCGCTCTGCCTTTCTCAGAGCCTACTGATTGTCCAGGGTCTCGTCAGGACCCAACAGCATGCAGTCAGAAAATGCTTCCTCCAGGCTTTGCCCTAGGGACTGGCCTGTCCGCAGCTGAGAGCCTAACCAGTGTGGGCGTCCTCTGAACCCTGAGGAAGCTCTGTACCCTTGGCCCAGTTTTACCTGAGGCCTTGGCCAAAGCACTTCTCCCATTGTGAAGGGGGTCCTGGACTCCATTTTGGAGTGGCGAAGAGAGCTGCGTCCAGAATGGAGAGCCGTGGACGGTAATGCGAGGGAGGCACCCTGTGTCCGCTGAGGTGTCTGGATAGAGATGTTTGTGATCACCCACCCACTGCACAAACGTATGAGAAGCAGCTCCTCGTATGCAGGGGAGCTAGTCATTCTTAGAGCAGACAGAACTTCTAGGCTCTGGAGTTTGATCCTCTGCAGGAATGCGCAGGCCCCCCAGGCGTCTTTTCGGTGGTGTACCTGGGGCTCTCCTGGTGACATCACCCTTCCTGGTCTCCTCTAGATACACATCCTTCAGGCCCGACTCTGAAGAGGATGAACGAGTAAAATAGTAAGTGGGCTCTGCAACGAGACAAGTGCCGCCTAGGCTCTCCAGAGCCGGCTCATTTGGGTTCTAAGGGCAAGGGATGGCCGATGCTTGGGTCTCAGCGTCCTCGTGTCTCCTACCACAGGGAGGTCTAAGCCTTGCCTGGAGGCTGAGGAGAACCTTCCGGGCAGGGTCCTCGCAAGTGGGTTTATGGGGGAAGCCTGCGGCCTCCAGTGCCCCTGGGAGACTCTACCCTCGTCTCAGTCCGTGGTGTGCGGGCTGGGTCAGCTGTGCTCCATCAGAGCCCGAGATAGGGGTGTGTGGAGCTCCCTGCCCACAGGGACCTTGCAAGGGCTGGATCTCTTCCACCTCGCGGTCGGTCTCACGTCCCCGGAGCCCTCCACAGAGGGCTGGCAAAGGAAAGAGCAGGCCACCGACTGGGCTGTCTGTCCCTTTCTGCCAGCACCATCTGTACCCTCCTGGACTACTGGATCGACAAGTTCCCTGAGGAGTTTTGCAGGATCGAACACCTGCCCATTCTGAAGCGGGTGAAGGATTACTTGAGCGTGAACATGCCCTCCTCAGACCTTCTGGTGCGTGTCCGGTCTCTCCAGGAAAACTTGCTGTCACAAGTGGCCAGCGATTCAGGGGCCAGCGATGAGGAAGCCTCAGGGTAGGTGCTTGAGAGCCTGGGAGCCGGGTTCAGGACCTGGAGTGCTGTGGGGATCCTCTGAGAGCTTCCTCTGTGCAGGAGCTACCGACGGACTCTAAGCCGGGCACAAGTCCTTTCCGAGGATAGATTCTGTCTGGGACTCCGGGCAGACATGGTCTCCTCTGTGTTGGGAACGGCTGATTCTAGGCACGTCGTCTCCTCCTGTAGGTCCACGGCCACCTCCCCTCCTAGGGACGCCGGCATGAGCAGCACACCTGTGTGCATTCTTAGGCCCGGGCAGCGGCGCCTCCGCAGATCCAGTGCTCCCAGTGTGTTGACCAGCAATGACGACGGCTACTCTGGAGCCAGAAGCAGCCTGTGCACTGGAGCCGGAGAGCACAAAACCGACACAAGGTTCTGTGACCCGTGTGCAGCTGGGGCCACATGTGGCAGCAGCAGCGGGCTCATCGCCACCCATTGAAGCTGCCGGTGTTATATCTCTGGCCGTGATGGCAGACACGGTACCACATTCATCATCTTGCTTGGGCCGCAGTGGTCTGCCTCCCCAGGGAATGGCCCGGCCACCCCTTCCTCCTCTGGTCGTCCGCATGTATCCGCCCTGCAGACAGCACAGCTTCTGCTGTTTCCCCACAGAACGACTCCCCGATTGCAACCCAGCAGCCTTGCCAGCCCCACAGCCAGACTCACCCTCCCCTGGCTAGCAGCCTTTTGACTCTTTTCAATGTTGTGTTAGTTTAGTCCGAGGATTGGTTTGAATAAATTGCTCTTGTTTGTGTTTCATTGTCTGAATCGTGGATATGACGTCCACTCTGCATGCATGTACTGGGCCTAGGGGAACGGCTACGTGGGAGAGGCTACGTGGAGACAGACCATCCTGGAGAAAGGGAGATAAAAGCCCCGGCCTTGACAGAGGCCACCTGATTTCTTTCTGAGCACATTTATTGTCTGTATATAGTAGGGCTACTGATTTTCTTGAGTTGATCTTGTATCCTGCCACTTTGCTGAAGGTATTTATCAGCTGCAGGAATTCCCTGGTAGAGTTTTTCCGGTCACTTATGTAAACTAACACGTCATCTGCAAATAGTGAAAGTTTGACTTCTTCCTTTCCAATTTGTATCCTTTTGATCTTCTTTTGTTGTCCTATTGCTCTAGCTAGAACTTCCAGTACAATATTGAAGAGGTATGGAGAGAGTGGACAGCCTTGTCTTGTTCCTGATTTTAGAGGAATTGCTTTGAGTTTCTCTCCATTTAGTTTGGTGTTAGCTGTCAGTTTGCTGTATATAGCTTTTACTGCGTTTAGGTATGTTACTGTTATCCCTGATCTCTCCAGGACCTTTATCATGAAGGGGTGTTGGATTCTGTCAAAGGCTTTTTCAGCATCTAGTGAGATTATCATGTGATTTTTGTTTTTCACCTTGTTTATATGGTGGATTATATTGATGTATTTGTATTTTCTTTCTTTTTTTTTTTTGGTTTTACGAGAAAGGGTTTCTCTGTATTGTTTTGGAGGTGGTCGGTCCAGTCTGGCCTCGAACTCACAGAGATCCGCCTGCCTCTGCCTCCTGAGTGCTGGGATTAAAGGCATGCGCCACCACCGCCTGGCATATTGACGTATTTTCATATGTTGAACCATCCCTGCATTCCTTGGATGAAGCCTACTTGATCAAGGTGGATGATTTTTTCTGATGTGTTCTTGGAATCTGTTTGCCAGTATTTTATTGAGTATTTTTTCATCAATGTTCACGAGGGATATTGGTCTGAAGTTCTCTTTCTTAGTTGTGTCTTTGTGTGGCTTGGGTATCAAGGTTATTGAAGCCTTGTAAAAAGAGTTTGTCAAAGACCCTTCTGCTTCTATTGCATGTAATACTTTGTGGAGAATTGGTATAAGCTGATCTTTGAATTTCTGGTAGAATTTTGTACTGAGGCCATCTGGACCTGGGCTTTTTTTGGTTGGGAGACTTTGATGACTGCTTCTATTTCCTTAGGGGTTATAGGCCTATTTAAATTGTTTAATGTTCTTGATTTAATTTTGGTAGGTGATATCTATCCAGAAAATTGTCCACTTCCTTTAAATTTTCCAATTTTGTGCAGTACAGGTTTTCAAGCTATGGCCTGATGATTCTCTGGATTTCCTCACTGTCCCTTGTTATGTCCCCCTTTTCATTTCTGATTTTGTTAATTTGCATGTCCACTCTCTGCCATTTGGTAATTTTGGATATAGGTTTGTCTATTTTGTTGATTTTCTCAAAGAACCAACTCTTTGTTTCATTGATTCTTTGTATTGTTTTCTTTGTTTCTACTTTATTGATTTCAGCCCTCAATTTAATTATTTCCTGGCATCTGCTCTTCCAGGGTGAGTTTGCTTGTTTTTGTTCTAGAGTTTTCAGTTGTGCTGCTAATTCTCTACTGTGACTATTCTCCAGTTTTTTCATGTGGGCACTTAGTGCTATGAACTTTCCTCTTAGCACTGCTTTCAAAGTGTCCCATAAGTTTGGGTATGTTGTATCTTCACTCTCATTGAATTCTAGGAAGACTTTAATTTCTTTTTTTATTTCTTCTTTGACCCAGGAATGGTGCAATTGTGCAGTGTTCAATTTCCATGAGTTTGCAAGGTTTCTGCAATTTGTGTTGTTGTTGAATTCTAACTTTAGAGCATGGTGGTCTGATAAGATACATGGAGTTATTCCATTTTTTTGGTACCTATTCAGGTTTGCTACATTGACAAATATGTGGTCGATTTTTGAGAAGGTTCTTTGTGGTTCTGAGAAGAAGGTATATTCTTTTGTGTTTGGATGGAATGTTCTATAGATGTCTGTTAAACCCAACTGGATCATAAATTCTATTAGTTCCTTTTTTCCTTGTTAAATTTCTCTCTGGTAGTCCTGTCTGGTGGTGAGAGTGGCGTGTTGCAGTCTCCCACTATAAGTGTGTGAGATTTTATGTGTGATTTGAGTTTTAGTAATGTTTCTTTTATGAATGTGGATGCCTTTGTATTTGGGGCATTGATGTTCAGAACTGAGACTTCATCTTGGTGGATTTCTCCTGTGATGAGTATGAAATGACCTCCTTTATCTCTCTTGATTGATTTTAATTTGAAGTCTAATTTGCTAGATATTAGGATTGCTACCCCTGTTTGTTTCTTGGGTCCATTTGATTGGAAAATCTTTTTCCAACCCTTAACTCTGAAGTTACATCTGTCTTTGAAGGTGAGGTGTGTTTCTTGTATGCAGCAGAAGGATAGATTCTGTCTTCAAATCCATTCTGTTAGCCTGAGTCTTTTTATGTGTGAGTTAATTTAATATTGAGGCATACTAATGACCATTGGTTGCTCATTCTTGTTTGTTTTGGAATGGCTGTTGTTGTTGGAATTGTATGTGGATTTCCACTCCTTTTTTCTTTTGCCTGTTGGTAAAGTGGGGTTATCTATTGCCTATGTTTTTCTGGTTGTAGTTAACTTTCTTGGTTTGGAGTTTTCCTTTCAGAATTTTCTGTAGGACTGGGTTAGTGGATATGTATTGTTTAAATATGGTTTTGTCATGAAATACCTTGTTTTCTCACTCTGTAGTGATTGAAATCTTTGTTGGGTAAAGTAGTCTAGGCTGGCATCTGTGGTTTCTTAGTGTTGGTAGAATACCTATCCAGGACCTTCCGGCTTTCAGAGTTTCCATGGAGTTTCATGAAAAGGCCAAATATAAGAATAATAGGTATAGAAGAAGGTGAAGAAAACCACCTCAAAGGGGCAGAAAACATATTCAACAAAATCATAGAAGAAAACTTTCCCACCCTAAAGAAAGACATGCCAATGAAGGTAGAAGAAGCTTACAGAACACCAAATAGAGGGGACCACAAAAGAAAGTCCCCTCGCCACATAATAATCAAGACCCCAAATATACAGAATAAAGAAATAATATTAAAAGCAACATAGGAAAAAGCTCAAATACATACAAAGGCAAACCTATTAGAATTACACCTGACTTCTCCATGGAAACTCTGAAAGCCAGAAGGTCCTGGATAGATATTCTACCAACACTAACAGATGCCTGCCCAGATTTAAACAATACATATCCACTAAGCCAACCCTACAGAAAATGCTGTAAGGAAAACTACAACCAAAGGAAGTTAACTACACTCCCAAAAACATAGTCAATAGATAATCCCACTTTACCAAAAGTAAATAAAAAGCAGGGTAAATCCACACACAATACCACCACTGCCAACAAACAAGGATTACCAATCAACGATCATTAATATTCTTCAATATCAATTGTCTTAACTTGCCTATAAAAAGACACATGCTAACAGAATGGATAGGAAGACAGAATCCATCCTCCTGCTGCATACAAGAAACACATCTCACCTTCAAATACAGATGTTACCTCAGAGTTAAGGGTTGGGAAAAGATTTTTCAATCAAATGGACTTGAAACAAGCTGGTGTAGCTATTCTAATAGATAACAAATTAGTCTTCAAGCTAAAATCAATTAAAAGAGATGAAGAAGGTCATTTCATATTCATAACAGGAAAAATCCATCAGGAAGAAGTTTCAATTCTGAACATATATGCCCTAAAAACAAAGGCATTGACATTCATGAAAGAACCATTGCTAAAACTAAATCACACATAAAACCTCACACAGTCATATTGGGAGACTTCAACACTCTACTCTCACCACTAGGCAGGACCACCAGAGAGAAACTTAACAAAGGAACTAATAGAATTTATGACCCAGTCGGGTTTAACAGACATCTATAGAACATTCCATCTAAACACAAAAGAATATAACTTTTTTTTTCAGTGCCATATGAAAGCTTCTCTAAAATCGACCACATACTCAGCAACATAGCAAACATCAGCAGGTACAAAAAAATTGGAAAAACACCGTGTTTCTTATCTGACCACATGATTTATTTTTTGACCTTGTTTTTTTTGTAATTTTTTTACTTTTAAATTTAAATTAGAAACAAGGTTGCTCACATGTCAATCCCAGTTCCCTCTCCCTCCCCTCCTCCCATGCCCTTCCACCAACCTCCCCATTCCCCCTCCCTCAATCCCTACTCCTTTCCCCAGGGAGGATGAGGCCCTCCATGGGGAGTGTCCATAGTCTGTCATTTCATCAAGGGCAGGGCCTAGGCCCTTCCCCAAGTGTCCAGGCTGAGAGAGCATCTCTCATTGTGGGATGGGCACCCAAAGTAATTTGTATGCCAGGGATAAATACTGATCTACTACCCAAGACCCCATAGATTGCCTAGGCCTCCTCACTGACATCCACATTCAGGGGGTCTGGATCAGTCCCATGCTGGATTCCCAGCCATTAGTTTGGGGTTCAAGAGCTCCCCCTTGTTCGGGTCAGCTGTTTCTGTTTCTATGCTCATCAGTCCTCCCTCTCTGTCACTGGGTTCCTTGAGTTCAGCTCAGTGTTTAGCTGTGGGTGTCTGCATCTGCTTCCATTAGTCATTGGTTGAAGGTTCTGTTTCCCAGACTCTGGCCGTGGGATTGTATGCTGGCACTCCCCCTGATCTATGTCTAAAATCCATATATGAGAGAGTACATACCATGTTTGTCTTTTTGTGACTGGGTTACCTCACTCAGGATGGGTTCTTCTAGTGCCATCCATTTGCCTGCAAATTTAAATTTCAAGATTCCATTCCCCCCCCCCCCCCGAATAGTACTCCATTGTGTAAATGTACCACATTTTCTCTATCCACTCTTCAGTTGAGGGGCATCTAGGTTGCTTCCAGGTTCTGGCTGTTACAAATAATGCTGCTAATTGTTGATCTCA